AGAGCTAAGGGGTAAGCCCTTTATAAAAGCATCAGATCTTGTGAGAACTCACTATCATGAGAGCAGCATGGAGGAAAGTGCCCCCATGATTCATTTATCTCCATCTGGTCCTGCCCTTGATATGTGGGGACATTTGAGATTTGGGTGGGGACATGGAGCCAGACCATATCAAATACTTTGACAAGTATCTTAAATTATTTGTTAATCTACTTTGTACATGCAATTGTTTATGCTTTCAAATGATTTATTTCTGTTCTGAAGTGCAGAATATCCTACAGGAATAAAAGAATATTTATAGCCCTCAATGTTTTTTTGCCAAAAGGCTGCCCCATGATTGATTAATGGTTAATGATTGTATTGCAGTTGCCACCATCCTGAATGACCACAACTTTATCTGGCTGGGTGGGCAGAGCCATGAAACTCCCTTTGTGATTAACGCTGTCATCCAATACACAGTGGAAACCATATTATATCCTTTCTGTTAGAGAGGCAGTGGTAGCTCAGTTTCCAAAAAGGGAAGATTCCAAAGTTGTCCCCAGCAGGAACAGATGTGGGGAGCCTTTGACTGGAAATTGCTACAGCACTGTATGCCGACCTAAATGACTGTGTCTGCTCTTTATACACGGGGGAAAATCATTTCCTGTTCATATTTCTTTCTGAGCCATTCTTCTAAGTCAGAATCATCCATATTTATTTCTTAATAATCTTTTATTATTCCTTTCATCCTAAGAGTATTTGAAATATTCTTGCCATTTCCTGTCTGGCCTAAACCTCAGTTTACTTTGACTTATACCATGTGGCCCTCCACTCTTTAACTGTCCGTACTTATTAGCCAGGATTCTGGGAGATGGTAAAGTTCGCCTGGGTGCAGTATGTCAGCATCCTGCTTATCTTCCCCTGGGTATTTGAAAGAATCAAGATCTTTGTGACCACTGTCCCTGTGACAGCGACGCCCCTGGGAGAAGTGTGGAAGGAGCACGTATCCTAGGAAGGCCGTTTCTGAGGACTCAGCAGGACCGTGGCTGCCTCATTGTCATCTCCTGGGAACATCTTAGGATGTTTCTGAAAGAGCCCAGGGGACACATGTGGGCTTGTGTGCTCTTCCCCTAGGAGACAAAGAACAGTTCTTCCCTTTGCTCTATACAAGTTCCATATCTTCAGAGCTCCTGCAGAATCGTCAGGGAGTAGTTCGTGGAAAGGTCTGAGGGTTCCTGGAGGCTGTAATTAGCTTTTTGGGTTTTTCTTCTTTGCCTTAGCATTGCATTTCAGGAGAAAATTGCGGTCAGTTCAGACATCTTGGAAAGAGTCCCATCTCTGGTCAAGCAGAGACTTTTCCTCTGTTGAGTGAGAAACATACTGTGCATTTCTTCCTTCTATTGTGAGCCACTGTTACTCTTTTCAGGGCTCTCTTGTGACAAACATGCCAATCACTAGCACTTTGCACCCCTGGGCCTCTCCATTTCCCATTCAGAGCTTTGATTTCCAGAGCTGAGGCCTTTCACTGGAGACCTGGAGGGGCAGGGCACAAGGGGGAGGGTCGCCTTGGCACAGGCATGAGGGAGGGCCGCTGAAGGACCCTCGGACCATCACCTGCCTCGGCCCGAAAGTCTGTCATCTGTCATCAGCTCAGCGGAGCAGCCCTGGATGCCTGCCTGACTGTGGCTGGCTCTTTGCCCTGTTTTGCCCTCTGTCTGCGCCCCTGGATGGCAGACTGAAGTCAGAGGGGCTGTTCATTCCCAGCCCCCTCAGCAGCACTGGGGGAAGAAAGGATTGTCACAACAGGTTCTTTCTGGCCCTCACTCAACAGCCTGGGCACTTGGCCCTCCTCCTCCTTGACAGCCCTCCCTCTTCCTGCAAAGGACAGGGGTGACCAGAGCTGGTGTTGGGATTGGCTCCCACTGCCTGACAACCACAAGTTTATTTAGAAGGCTAGCGGGAAGCCCAGCGGCTTGTGTTTCCCTTGACTAAGGAACAGGGTGCTCATTAGAGTGGGGCGGGGAGCTTTGGGAAGGGCACAAGAAGCAGTGAGGGAGTGAGGAGGATGCTGGCCCGGGCAAGGCAGTCCAGCCTGGCGACTAGCAGAATGCCAAGCAGTCCAGCTGGATTACCCTCCTCATGGCTGAGCAAGTGTCTGCGGGAGCAGAGGTGGCTGGAAGGGGCCTCTGCACATGGAAGACGGCTTGCTCAGCCCCTTCACCTCTTGAGGACGTGAGCAGTCTCCTCTAAGCACAGACGGAGCTGCTTCCTGATCCCAAGCAGGTCGTTGCCACTGGAAGACATGGCCCCTGTGATTTATGCGTCATGCCCACAAACACACCTCTTAGTGTGTGCCTCCGTTTACCTTGGAGATCACCTCTCATCTCCAGCACCATTTCCTTTACACTGACTAAAAACAGTTTTGGAAACAAAGCTATTGTCAAGTATACAAGCAGAGGAATTCCCTAACACTGTCCCCCTTGTCTTTTTTTCAAATTCAGGCTGTTTTATATGCCTAATTTTTTTTTCTTGAGATTTATTTATTTTTATAGATTGGGGTCCTCACTATATTGCCCAGGCTGGTCTTGAACTCCTAGCCTCAAGCAATCCTTCTGTCTCAGCCTCCCAAAGTGCCAAGAATACAGGCATGAGCCAGTGTGCCTGGTCTCTTGAGACTGAAATTAAAAAATCGTTGGTGGTTTAAATCCCCAAAAGGTAATGAAACATGGAAAGATGGCTAAAGATATGTATAAACTTTGGTTTGGATTTTATCAAATTATTTGAACGCAAAACTTGTATAAAGAATCTAGCCGGGCGCGGTGGCTCAAGCCTGTAATCCCAGCACTTTGGGAGGCCGAGGAGGGTGGATCACAAGGTCGAGAGATTGAGACCATCCTGGTCAACAGGGTGAAACCCCGTCTCTACTAAAAACACAAAACACTAGCTGGGCATGGTGGCGCATGCCTGTAATCCCAGCTACTCAGGAGGCTGAGGCAGGAGAATTGCCTGAGCCCAGGAGGCGGAGGTTGCGGTGAGCCGAGATCGCGCCATTGTACTCCAGCCTGGGTAACAAGAGCGAAACTCCATCTCAAAAAAAAAAGCTACTACTTTCTGTAGGTTACTAATTAAAATGTTCAACATAGAAGGTTGTATTCCCTTTTTTTGAATCAGGGCTTTGGAAGGAGGAAGAATAGGGAGGGTTGAAGTTGAGCACACTTCTCCGAGTTACTCACCAGCGGCCCTGCTTTGCCAGGGCTCTGCCCAAAGACCTTGGAACTTTTGTTAGCTCTCTGGCAAAAGTTTCCTGGTCCAATCCCAAGTATATTAGTTTTTAGTGGAATCCACATGGCATATGGAAACCACGGGTTGGAAAATTACAACTGTGTCTGGTGAATATCAAATTATTTACAGATCATATGTTGGTAGCTTCTGAAACAGAACCACACAGCATAGTTGCAGGAGAAAGAAAGGTAAGAAATATGCAGGTTATTATCAACTGAGCTGTAATCCATAGATAAGTCATATTTGAGATGAATTCCTAACTCTTCCAAATGATTAGTCCAGCTTCTGCCAAGGCAGGTCAGGTGTCTAATGCCCCATTAAGCTCCCATCTTGAAGCTTATTTAAGCAATTCTCTTTGCCTCTCTCTTGCCCCTTCCCCCACTTCCTCTCCTCATCTCCTTATTCATGCTTTGTAAAGAGGTTTTGGATCTTTCTGGCCAGGTAAGTTCTCAATATCTATTAAGGAAATGTAAATTACATGATCCTAAGTAAAATAATGACTGCCTGCCAATCCCCTACCCAGAGCTATAATGGTTGGCCTTCCGGCACACATCTTTCTATCCTGTACACTATTTCTAACTTTTAAAAAATCATGAACAGGCCAGGCACAGTGGCTCACGCCTGTAATCCCAGCACTTTGGGAGGCCAAGGTGGGTGGATAACCTGAAGTCAAAAGTTCGAGACCAGCCTGGACAACATGGCGAAACTGTCTCTACTAATAGTACAAAAAATTAGCTGGACATGGTGGTGGGCACCTGTAATACCAGCTACTCAGGAGGCTGAGGCAAGAGAATCACTTGAACCCTATAGGCGGAGGTTGCAGTGAGCCGAGATCTGGCCATTACTCTCCAGTGTGGGTGACAAGAGCGAGACTGTCTCAAAAAAAATCAAAATCAAAATCATGAACAACACGTAGGTGAACCCTGTATATAAATCCGTTTCTGGTTTATTTTCTTAAGATAGATCCCAGAAAGGAATTACCAATCCAAAAAGCTTATGACCATTGTTAAGGATTGTAATTCATCTTGCCAAACCACAACCAGGAAAGACTGCTCATTTCTTCTCCCTGCAGCAGGGAGTTCTTGTTTAAGATCACATCACTGATTACAAGACCTTCAAATGCTTTATCCTCTTCAGATGCCTGGACTCTGCCCTGTTATCATACGTGATTTATTGACACGTTTCATGTCTTTATCTGGACCTGCTATGAAGCCTATGCCTCTCTCGGTCAAGGCTAGGGCAGGGAATGAGCAGGAGGGGAACAGCTGCGGGTACAGCTCCTAAGGCCCCACCTGGTCTCTCTGCCCCTCCCAGCTGGGACACTGCACGCGGTCCCTGTGTTATCCAGGTGCCTGGGTCTTGGCTTAGGGCTGAGGTTTCGGCATTGGGAAGGGTTTGGATTCAAAGTCACTTCGCTGCAAGGATGTCCCCCAAGAGCGAGGAGGGCCAAGATTAAGATTCTACTTCCTTCACTAGGATCTCTGTCCAGGAGCTCCCTTTCTCTGGGTATTGGGAGGGGGGTAGGGTACAACGTTCATTTGTGGTCAGTTAGATGAGAGGTCACTCTGCCAGCGCCCTTTGACATCCTCGGCTAAACGGTGCTCCTCTCAGAGCCCAGCCCACCTGGGCCCTCTTTCCCTGCCTTCGGCCAGCGCCCCTCCCCCGAGGCGTGGCCCCCCGGTCGGAGGTGGGGAGAGGGAGCCTAGGGCCAACCGGCTCCTTTCTTCCCCCACCGTCCTGGCTCCTGCCGGCCACCCCGGGACCGCAGCCACGTCTGAAAGCGCCTCATTGTGTGCGCTCCGGGCGAGCAGCACCGGGCAGCTCCGAGGGTTGTGGGCTGGCGCACAGGGAGTAGAGGGTGCGGGCGGCAGTGCCAGGCTCCGGAGGGGACTCTGCGTCGGGTGCCTCCCTTTGGTAGCCCCAGGACACCCCCACCCTCCACATCGCATTCTGGGACGCCTGCCCTGTTCCCAGATTCGCTCTGCCTCGAGTCTCCGGGAGCTTCCAGTGGCTTGGTTCCCCGACTCCCATCCGTGCCTCTTAGAGCCCCTTTCCTGGCGTCACCGGGTGCCCAGTCATAGTCTTGGGGCCTTAAGGAGCAAGTCAGCCCTGCAGACCCTTCATTGAAGAGAAAGAGCTGGCTGTGCGGTGGAATTTGGAAGAGACGAAGTCTAGGAGCCTTTGCTGAGCCCAGAGAGAGAGGCGTCCCACTCCCTGCCGCGGCAGGTCGGGCAGAGACGCCAAGCTTTGGGGTACGTTGTTTCTTCACTCTCCACACTTGGGTGGGCTGGGAGCCGGACCAGTGGCACAGTTGGGCACGCTCCTCTGTCCTCACTGGGGACCTGGGTTGGCGGGAACAGCTGGGGGTGGCTTTTCCATCAGCAACGTTGAAAAGGCATCGCCGCTGCCGGCGCGGGTTTGGAAGTGTCTTACTGAGGCTTCGGCTGAGCACGGGGATCCTTACTGCGGCGGGGGGAGGCGGGGGAGGCCCTTTTGTCTCTGCTTGGGTTTCAAAGGGCAAGGCTTTCAAAAGCTCTCCAGGGGCTTTTTCCATAGAATTATTGAGAAACAGTAGCTTGGTGGGTTAATTTGGAACCAGACCCAGGGAAATTGGAGTCCTGCGTCACTGCTTCTGACGGCTTCATCTTGGGCTTCAGGACAGGCCCAGTGGGCCTCAGGACAGGTGCGCCTACCAAATGTCGACTTTCCTTTCTCCTCCGTCTTACACGGAGGTAAGGCAGTCGAGTTTCCCATTTTTGAGAATGGGAAAACTGAGGTCTGAAGAGCAGAAAGGACTTAGCTGACTTGAACCCACAAGCGAGTGGGCCGAGTACCAGGGCCTCGGAGAGTGGCGAGCTGCTGGGAGAGCCAGGGCTGGGCTCCTCTCCAACCTGGGAGGCCAGGGCTTTTCTGGCCTTTACAACAGAGTCAACTGGAGCACAGAGAGCCGGAGGGTGACCTGCTCAAAGTCACACCCCTCACTGGTAGTAGAGACAGGATTTGAACCCAGTCCGGCTTCAGAAGCCAGGCTTCTAAGGCTGGGTGCGGTGGCTCACACCTATAATCCCAGATTCTTTAGCAGACTGAGGCGGACAGATCACCTGAGGTCAGGAGTTCAAGACCAGCCTGGCCAAAATGGTGAAACTCCCATCTCTACTACAAATACAAAAATTAGCTGGGTGTGCTAGCGGATGCCTGTAATCCCAGCTGCTAGGGAGGCTGAGGCAGAAGAATCACTTCAACCCAGGAGGCGGAGGTTGCAGTGAGCTGAGATCGTGCCACTGCACTCCAGCCTGGGCAACAGAGCAAGACTCTATATCAGAAAAAAAAGCAGCCAGGCTTCTAGCCATGACTCTCCAGCTTCCTCTGTTTTGTATGTCCATGTGAGATCCCTGCCTGTGCCTGCCACATTCTGTTGCTGGGGCACTGGGGCACCTGAATCCAATAGGGCCATTGTCCTCGGGTTTTCTTCGTTTGAAGACTTTCCCTTGAATTCATAGAATATAATTAATTCTATTCTATTCCGTGGCCCAGGAAGATTCCAGAATGCACTATGCACCAGACATTGTTCTGCTTTATAAATATTCACTCACTCATTCTTTGAATCAAGCCCATGAGTTGAGTTATGTTGTTTCCCTGGGTTTACAGATTTTCTTTTAATCAAGTAGGCACAGAGAGAATGAGTAACTTGCACAAGATCACACAGTAAATGGTCAAGTGGGCTTCACACTCTTAACCACAGTGCTGTATACCTACTGTCTTAATTGAGACAAAACATTCTGCTTCTAGAGTCGTGGGAGGGGAGATAGGTCCGGAAATGCATAAACAAGATTGGTCTGGGTAGTGATAATGGGATTAACAATAATTTCTCAGTATTACCTGTTAGTCATATTGAGGTATATCTAATTACCTCTAGGGTATCTCCTGGCAGATATTTTTTTCAAATCAGAATCCAAATAAGTTCCACATGTTGCATTTGACTATGTGTTTTGAGTTCTTTTTTTTTTTTTTTTTTTTTTTTTTTTTAATTTTTTTGAAACAGAGTCTCACTCTGTCACCCAGACTGGAGTGCAGTGGCTCGATCTCAGCTCACTGCAGCCTTGGCCTCCCGGATTCCAGTGATTCTCCTGCCTCAGCCTACTGGGTAGCTGGGATTACAAGCACATGCCACAACGCCCAGCTAATTTTTGTGTATTTAGTAGAGACTGGGTTTCACCATGTTGGCCGGGCTGGTCTCAAAGTCCTGACCTCAGGTGATTTGCCCTCGTTGACTTCCCAGAGTGTTGGGATTACAGGCGTGAACCACCGCACTCAGCCTGAGTTATTGTCTTCTAAAAGAGTCTCTTCTTTTTTCTCTCTACGTCATTGATTTGGAAGAATGATTTACTTTTTGAAAATAAAGTAATTAAATGGTTAATAAACCAGAGAACATTCCAGATTATCCCTGTAATGAGAGGGCTCTGTCAGTACTTAGGGAAACAGATGAAGGTGCTAAAAGCACAATCACACTCTATACCATGCATGTGTTGCTGCACACAAGTGGGGAGCCCTCAGACTTTATGGCCTCCAGCTGTAAAGTACTATTATGTAGACTAAGTCAGGTGCTATGAGAATTGCAGTGTGAGAATCCCTAAAGCTCCCAACCAGGAAAAAGGGCTTATGTGTTGCTATCTGCTCATCTGCTCCGAAATGCCCTAGAGCGGTGGCTCTGAGCCAGGGAGGCTTGAGGCTCCTTTCCCAGGCTAATTAGAATTCATTTCGAAGTAGATTCTTGAAGGCAGATCTGTTTCCCCAGCAGCATCTGGGCCTTGTAGTCCCAGCCTACTGCCTCTGGGGGATGCCATGCAGCTGCATCACCAGGACTGCCGGAGGTGGCAGATGTGGCAGGGGATGGGGGGCCAGGCACGGCTTCAGCCACAGCCTGGCTCAGCCCATAGTCCTGGGGCTGAGAGCGTGTTTGGGAGCTTTGACACCTTTTAGTGCAGTAATTCATGCCTCTGACCTTCTCTGGCTAACTGGGTACTCAGGTCAGCTGGGAAATGGATTTGCAGGCTCCTGTCTCTCTGTAGTGACAGCTGGAGAAAGAGAAACTTCACCTTAGCCTCCTTTAACCAACTAGAAATTTACGATTTTATAATCATTGTAATAAAAGTCTGACATAGACTGTCTGGAAAGTGCAGCAAAGCACCAATAAAAAGAAATTACCTGTAAACTGGCCATAGAAAAATAAACACCAAGCTTCAGTGTGCATCTCCCACTCTTTCTAATTTTTGAAAAATAGCTTTATTGAGATAGAATTCATGTACGTTAAAGTTTATATTTTATATATATATATATATATATATATATATATATATATATAAACACATTTTTTTAGATGGAGTTTCACTCTTGTCACCCAGACTGGAGTGCAGTGGTGTGATTTCAGCTCACTGCAAACTCTGCCTCCCGAGTAAGAGCAATTTTCATGCCTCTGTCTCTGCCTCCTGAGTAGCTGGGATTACAGGTGCCTGCCACTATGACCAGCTAATTTTATTTACTGATTGATTGATTGATTGTATTTTTAGTAGAGATGGGGTTTTATCGTGTTGGCCTGGCTGGTCTCAAACTCTTGACCTCAGTTGATCCACCCATCCAATCTAAAGTGCTGGGATTACAGGAGTGAACCACTGTGTCCAGCCCAAAGTTAATATTTTTAAAATGTTCAATTCACTGGTTTATAGTATATTCAGTGTTTTCACATTGAACTGTGTATATATCAGTGCTTTCTTCCTTTTTATTGTGGAGAATCGTCTACTGTGTAGTTATACCATATTTTGTTTATTCATCAACTGATAGACATTAGGGATGTCTCTCCTTTTTGGCTATTACAAATAATGCCACTGTGAAAATTCATGAGCAAGTTTTCATGTGGGCTTATGTGTTCCGTTCTCTTGGGTGTGTACCCAGGAGTGGTTCTGCTGCATCCTATGGTCTCTCTGTTTCACCTTTTGAGAAACCACCAAACTGTTTCTTTAGGAAATGCACCATGTGATATTCCAACTTTATGAGGATCCCCACATCTCCATCATCTCACCAACACTTGTAATTATTATTATTATTTTTTAAGACAGGGTTTTCTTGTAATTATTATTATTATTATTATTATTTTTTAAGACAGGGTTTCACCATGTTGGCCAGGCTAGTCTTGCGCTCCTGACCTCAGGTGATCCAACTGCCTCAGCCTCCCAAAATGCTGAGATTACAGGCGTGAGCCACCACGCCCGGCCCACTTTTAATTATTATAATGACCTTTTTAAAAAAAAAAATTGTATTTACTTAGAAGCATTCAGAATGTCAACAAAACTGCAACTTTTTTTTCTTTTTTCTTTTTTTTTTTTGCAATTACAGACTGGTATTCAGTTAACAGAACAACAATTATTTCGTATAAGCTTCATCAGAGACAACTGAAGTTGAAAAAAGGACCATCCCCATATATAACTGATTTGTGCTGTGTACCAACAAGAACCTGCTTTAAATTTCCATGCCAATTTACAACCCCCATATGGTACCAGGCAAGATTAGTGGCTATTGAAAATACCACCAGGACAGGGCTACCTAAAGACTCATTCGGCAGTGCGTTAACTATCAAAAAAAGACACTGTACAGTTTAAAAACAAATCTTACACAGCCTTACACTTCAATTTTTTTATTTAAAAGGAGTGAGTTGTGTACAGGGGGGTTAAATGCTTTATAGACCAAAAAGAACTGCACTAGAACCAACTTAGTCATCAACATTCTCTTCTTCATCTTCTTCCTCCTCCTCTTCATCGTCCTCATCTTCCTCCTCTTCCTTCTTTTTCTTGCTTTTTTCAGCCTTGACAAATCCCTTTTGGGCTGCAGCAGGCTTTCCTTTAGCTCAATATGCAGCAGTATCTTCGTCGTGTGTTTCCTTCTGCTTCGTAGCCTTTTCATAAGGCCGCTTGTCACCTGCAGCAGAGTTCCTCCACTTCTCTCCCTGTTTCTCCGCCACATCACCAACGAACAGGCCAGGATGTTCTCCTTTGATTTTTGGGCGATACTCAGAGCAGAACAGGAAGAAGGCCAAAGGAGGCCTCTTGGGTGCATTGGGATCCTTGAACTACTTTTTTGTCTCCCCTTTAGGAGGAATTGAGGTTTTCATTTCTCTCTCATAACGGGCCTTGTCCGCCTTTGCCGTGTCTTCAGATTTTCCTTTCTCTTTAGCAGACACGGTCTTCCTCTTCTCTCAGCG